TCTAAAGAGAAAATGCATAATTGCAACCATTTTGGCAGAAGAATAGCATTCTTTCACATTTACACTTTACATCTCACCTCAAAATTCATTCTGTCAAGATATGGTTCTAATTCATAGCTAGTAACAAAATGCTTAAATCAATAGGAATTTTGAAAGATGAAACAGAACATACCCACATTTCTTCTAGTATTTACTGTTCAAACCCAATTGCCATTACCTTCAAATTCAACAGAAACCTTCCAGTGCAAATTCTGCAAGTGACGGTGGAGTTTGTGGCTATAGCAAGCTTTGAATTTCTCCTCAGGACACAATGGACAAGGCTTCCTTTCATCTGAAAACACAATTAAAAACTGTGAGAAACATGAAATGCAGTTACCACTTGTGTTATTGAGATGCAGGCCAAGAGAAAAAAGGCTGAAGGTAAAAGCAACATGAGTTAAAGATGAAGTCCTCAGGGAACATTCTATTTCATGCACAAACTTGAAATTTATGGGTTTCCTTTTTCTGCTCCATGGAATACAGACCAAAATCACTGTAACTTTAACAATTATTAACTCCTACAACCTTTGAGTTTTGGTTTTTACTACTTTTTACTCCAGCAACACAAGGCAAATTAAACTTCTGAAAAGTACTGAGGAACAACAGAACTTTACAGATGTCATGTAAAGACTTGAAATGTTTAAAAAAACCCACCAAACCAAAATCTCCAACAAATCAGGAGGTTAAAACAAGATTTGGTTGTTCCAACTCCTGGATGTTTTGGACAAAACAAGCAGCTGATACCTATTTAAGCTGCAAAATAAGACAATGTACCCTATATAAAATAATTTTGAAAAATATAAAATAATTCTTGAAAATCCTGCATGTGAGACACAAAAAGCAAAGACAAGGTTGTGTTTAAAGGTGTTGAAGCCCTTGAAGTACTAACCTAAATAAAAACTAGCTGAATGTCAAACAACCTCTCAGGCAGAATTTAACAGAACAAGAGAATAAATCATAAAGCCCTTTTTATAAAACCCCTCATCTTTAAATATCATAAATATATGTAGTGTGTTAAAGATAAAATCTAAAGGAAAATGTAAATACCTGTAACACAAAGATCTGTGTTCTGGGACACTGCTGTGGACAACTCACCTTCTCTCAGGTCAGCCAGTTTCTCTAGATCAGCAAGGTGTCTCTGAATTGAAATATGTTTTTCTAAAAAAAAACCAACCCAGAAATATTTAGGAATTAAACATTTTTAGTTTAAAAATTGCTTTTAGTTTACTGCTACTGTCCTGTGCAACATATCAAATCTAGCACTGTTAGAGAATGACTGTAGTAGCAACTGAAATACTTGTTTTTATCCTTTTACTTCCATGGCAGCACAAATGACTGCAAAAATTATTCCCAGAATAGCTGTTTAATAAGATCCATATATTTTCACATATTTGTACTTCCCTTTAATACTGACACAGAAACTTTGTAAGATAGAAAGATCCTAATTTGAAAAAAAAAAAAAAAACCAGTTGAAAAGATAAGTCACATTCCCTTTACAAAACCTGGTTTTACTGCTCAGCATTGTTAGTGAATGCAAATCATACACAAAAGCAGTACAAAAAAATCATATGAACTCACTGGCAAAACTAATTATCAACTATAAGTGGATCAAATTTAAGAACAATTATTCATGTGGAGCCAGGATACATAAAATTCTATAATTTTTTTATTTCCCTTAGTAAACAATTTAACTTTTAAATCTACCCCTTGATTTTTCAACTTATCAGTCAGAATTTGCCAATACCAAGAAAATTAGGTTGAAATGTGCTATATTGATTTCAGCACACAGAACTTCCCAGTCCACTCTAACACAGATTCTGTAGAACCTTTAAGCTTTAAAACATTTTTACAGGGTAAATCTTCAGGTTTTCTTATGCCAGACAAAGCAACAGATCCACGTGGTCAGGATACAAAGGTGAGTTTTAAAATGAGATTTCACACCTCCCTTTAGATTTCTCCCTAGTATTTCCACCTCTCCTCCAGCACATGGTACAAATATGAAGAGTTTATTAACAAACCTCGTGGGTACTCAGATGATGCATCCAAAGTGTTGCTATCAGATTCCCTTGGGTGTTCTTCTTCTGCTCCTTTGTCTTCAGCTTCTGATTCTGACTTGGGAATTTTCACATCGGTGTTGTTGCTTTTCACGTTTTCAGAGACCACCAAACCATCTTAAAACCAAACAAAAACACAGTAAAAGTGTCACTGATGTAACTGAACTACACAAATACGTTTGTTTGTTTCCAATAATCTGGTGCTAACTACAAGCATGAAGGAGAAAAAAATTACATAGAATAGTATGAGATGGATTTTCACTCCAACTATCCCTGGAAACCACTGTGCAATAATGTAATCCCGGACAGCTGAAATGACTATTCACACATCAGTATCAGATGTTTAAGATGAAAATAACATTTACATGTTGTTTTCTGGCTGGATGCAGTGAAGCAAGGCAAAGCAGGCAAGGAGGAGCTCCAAATCCCCCTGACAATTTACTATCAGCTAAAAAAGTTTGATAACAGTTTAGTTCATTAATCAAACAGTATGAAAGAAGGGGCTAAGGCAGGAATTTGTTATCAGCAGAGGCAATGATGAGGGGTAAGTGCTGGTGCCATCAGCATTTGCAAATGAATTACTTCCTGGGACAGTACAGATGGGCCTGGTGAAGAATTTCAAGCATTCAAAGAAGCTGAGAGATGGGGCAATAAAACGATGAGAATAGTCAAACCCGGGAAAAAGAACTGAAGAAAGAGGTAGAAATCCCCACAAGGCGTGGTCTGATCCCTGTGCAAAGAATATAAGGAAGCACTAGGAAAGGATTCAGAAAGCCACATAAATCTATAAATATTGTCTTGCTCCCAGCAAGATTCCAGGGACAGGTGGGACTAGTGAAGTTTCAACCATGGGCAACAAGAAATAAAGCTCAGGCATCACTTTGCAACTACTGAGAAGCAACAGAGCAGACCAAGGCTTTTCAGCATGGATGGGACAGACAGGAGGTGCAGAGAGGGCACAAAAGGCAACCAGGGGCTGTCTGTCCTGACACAGAAACCGGGATGCACCTCATGGAGAAAACACGGACCTACAAACTGGTCTGTGTTGGAAGTTATTTCCAGAGGATGCAGGAATGCATGGTTGTTCTGGATGTGGAGGGAACAACCTGGGATAATGGAAGGCATTGCTGCCCATAGCACGGGCTGGAACAGAATGTGCTTTAAGGTTCCTTCCAACCCAAACCATTCCATGATTCTCTGATTTTGCTGGTCTTGCCTATCCACTATTCCTGACCACAACTTAAGACAGGCTGAAGGATCTTACAACAGTTCTTCAGATTTCTCTGGACTACTTTTGTTTGTTTTCTTTTAAACATTGCTGTTAGGTAAAAATATCTGTTGTTATGAAAACGGACAGAAAGAGAAAATAGCAGGAATACCTCAAGACAGGGGGTCAAAACCTGAAAAAACAGAAGCCCAGAGTAAAAGTATTCTACCTATCTTAAAATCTATCAGGGGGCACATTGCTAGGAAGAGATTGCTGCTGTGCTCCCCACATACCTGTTTTAAGCTGACAACCCCCCTAAGAAAGATTTGCATGGAGCCTACTGCTCCATTAAAAAGTTGCAGAATTCCTGGTGATAGTTTCTATGTGCTTTATTAATACAAAGACAGAAAACAAGTAAGTAAAAGCATGTTTTGTAAGAAATCATTAACAACTATTGATTAGTCGTGGGAAAAGTAGAAACAGTTATAAAAATGTACAGTGGGAGCAAAGCAGTGACAAAAAACCAGCAGAGCTGGACAGTCTGCATCTTCAGAGCCCGTGAAGAGGTTAAAATGTTTGAAAAGGATAATATAAACACATGTACAAAAAAAAACTAGTTAATATGTAAATGTACAAGGAGAAAGGTAAGCTTTCACACTGAACGATGAAGAAAGGCATGCTGCTACCGAACCAAGACATCAGGATTTTTTAAATGCCCACCAGGAATCACTGATCACACACAAACAGAATAACGCTTCTTCAGAGAGCCTAAACTACACTTACACGAGAAAAAGGATTAATTAGAAGAGTCAGTTCACTTGAACCGTAAGGCTGCAGCAGCAAAGGGCTCGCTCGGGGAGCTGAAGTCCAACAAAACCAATTTACAGAATCCCAGAGCGGGCCAGGTCGGAAGGACCACGGTGGTCCAACCTCCCTGCTGCGGCACATGGCGCAAACACGTTTGGGTTTCAAAAACTGCGAGGAAAGACGCGCGGCTGAGCCCGCGCCGCACTTCGGGCCCCCAAGGGACCTCAGGGAATAATAAATGATCCCCAAGGACAAAACATCGGCAGGTTTGGGGAAGAAAGAAGCGACAGGAGCGCGGGTTCAAGCGTAGCGAGGCCCGGCGGGAACACGTGTGGCCCCGCACCGCGCTGGGAAAACGGGAGAGCCGGGAGCCTGCGCCTCCCAGGGCTCCCCGGCCCCAGGAGAGCTGCCCAGGGGTGTAAATTCAAACTAGGCGAGGTGCAAATTCAAACCCGGCCGGGGTGTAAATTCAAACCGGCCCGGGCTCCGCATGGCGCCCGCCCGCCCTCAGCCCCGGCACGCAGGGCCCGGCTCCCCCTGCCCGCCCGATCCCTGCCCGCTCTCACTGAGCGCCGCCGCCTCGCCGCCGCCTTCGTGCTCGTGGTTGTGGTTTTCCTCCTCCTCCTCCTTCTCCTGCTGCTGCTGCTCCTGCCGCCGCCCCAGCGCGGCCTTCACCGCCTCCAGCGCTGCCTCCGCCGCCTCTAGCGCTGCCATGTTCCCGGCACGGAGCCGCCGCGCAGCCCGCACGCCGAGGGCGGCCCGCTCCGCCTACACTTCCCAGCCGCGCCCGGGCCGGCCCGGCGCGCACCGCGGCGGAGGAGGAGCCG